TTCTTGCCCATGTACCCCACTTGTGTCCCGATCTTGACCATGTCCGCCGTTACCTTGGGGTCCTTGTCGAACTCGGTCACGGCGACCATGAGCATCGCGGCGGGGCCAGGTTGCATCCCTGTCGGAGGCCTTGGCCCACGTCGAACCATTCCGAGTACTGCCCGTCGTCCGTTCGGACGCGCGCCCTCATGCCCTCGTGGAAGTGGCGAATGACCGCCAGCATCTTCGGGGGCACGCCGAAGCGTCGGAGCACGTCCCACAGCAGTAGGTCTCGGTCCACCGAATCGTACACCTTGGTGAGGTCGACGAAGCACGCGAAGACCGCAGTACTCTTCTTCCTCGCGAGCTCATGGAGCCGCTGGATCGCGAACAGCATGTCGGGCGTCGACCGGTGTGGGCGGAACCCGCTCTGCTCCTCCGGGAGGATGCCCTCTCGCTCGCAGTAGTGGCTCAGTCGTGTAGCGACGACCTTAAGCAGCGCCTTGCCGGCGTGTGCGACGAGAGAGATGCCCCGGTAGTTGCCGCACTCCATGTTATCCCCCTTCTTGAACAGCACTTTGATGGTGGCATCCTTCCACTGCTGTGGTACGCTGTGGTACGTCCCCCGTCTGCCACACGTCCACGACGATGGCGTGGAATTCGCGGAGGAGGCCTCGATCTCCGTCCAGGAAAAGCTTGATCAGCTCAGCCGGTAGGTCGTCCGGCCCGACGGCCTTTCTGTTGGCCATTTCCCGTACCACTTCCTCAACCTCGAATAGAGATGGGATGTCGTCGAGTGGCACGCACGTGGGCCACTGCTTGACCTTGTCAGCCGCATGCAGGTCGATGGTCGGCGACTTGGTGTTGAGAAGCTGGTGGAACCACCGCGCCCACCGTTGGCGAAAAAACGTGGGGTCCCGAAGGACCTTGCCGTCCTCGTCCTTGATGTTCTGAGAGGTGAACGATCTCTTACCTTCGATGCCGATCATCTTCAGGTGCCTGTAGAAGCCCGCCTAATCCCCCTCGCGGCTCTTCTTCTCGACCTGCCGTACATAGCCCTCGAAGAACGTTTCCAGTGCTCTCCACCTCGCGATGCTGCGCTTCTTCCGCGCCGCCTTGAGCATCGCCTTCAGGGTCGCCTCGAAGGCGCTGTTCTTGGAGGCCCCACGAAGTTGCTGCTGGGCCGCCCTAATCTCTATAGACGCTTCGGAGATCTCGTGCTGCGCTTCGCTCGTGTACCAGCCTCTCTGCCCTCGTGCGCACCTCGGCAGCGGCGCGGTCTCGGCAGCGGCCGACATCACCATATCCGTCAGCCCGGCGGCGGTCTCTCCCGTTGGCCGCCTGGGCGCCGTGGGCGGAGGGCGGCTGGAGGCCCTGTCTTGGAAGGCGGTCCGTAGGTTTTTGTCCTTACTTAATTGCTCGAGCTCGAGGTCGATACGGATTCGGCTGCTTCCGCTGTTCCCCCGCACTCGTCGGTTGGGTGCGACACGGGGGGGGAGGCGGACAGTCGTAAGCACGAGGTTGTGGTCAGAGTCCTTGAAGTCGACATGTTTGACGGAGACATTACACACGAAACGCCGGCCCGCATGAGGATGAAGTCGAGGCGGTACTTCTCCTTCCCCATGTTGGAGCTCTGGAACGTGTGCTGCACTCCACCTTTCGGTGTCCGAAAGTAGGTGTTGATCAGGGAGAGTTGGTTGTCTGATGCCAGTCCAACGAGTCGTTCCCTGTTGTTGTTCATAATGTCGCGTCCGTGCGCGCCCAAAATCTTGGCATCGCAGCACCCGTCTCGCCTCCTGCCGGTGCGTGCGTTGGCGTCCATTAGCACCACGAGATGGTCACGGCTGTGAACCTCCCGGATCGCTGCGTCGAGAGCAGTCCAGAAGGAGTCCGTGGCGTTAACACCACCGCCCGCGGTGGTGCGGACAGCTGCCGTGGTATGTATTTGTGTTCCGAGACGAACATACTGCCCTCTCTATCTCCCTCTCTCCCTCTCCTCTCTCCTCGATTTTGCAGCAAACACCACCGCCGTCACAACAGCAAAGACACAGCACACAGTCATAACAACGCCGCCACCACCGCCAGCCCCCAACCAAACTTTCGGGCACTGCCCGGACGATTTTTTGTTGTGCTGCATGCGTATCAAAGCGTACGTAAGGTTGCTGCATGCTGCTGCACCCTCTCTTTTCCCCTCTGCCCTCCTCGCTCGTCGTGCTCCTTTTTCTTTCTCGCTTTCTCTGGTGCCGCCATCGCACGCAAGCACAGACGAACTAACGAACAGACACAGTTCCACAAGGCTCGCCGCGTAGCTTATGGGCTGCCCCGTTATTTTTGTGGGGGGGAGGGCGGCCCTTCCTAGTCGGCGTGGCGGGGAGGCTGGAGGTTGTCGTTGCCGTTGATGCACAGGGTGTGCGTATACGCCTGTCTTCCTGTCTTTTCTAACCTCTCTCTCATTTTCTCTTTGGCACAAAAAAAAGAGAAGAAGGACCAACGGTTTGTTATCATCAACGTGCCCGAGTGCCAACATACAGAGTATCAGCTAGCGTGGGATGGGGGCGCTCTTGGCAGAGACGAACGCTCCTTGTCCGCTATTCGTTCACTACGTAAGGGTGTGCATATTCGTATCACCTTGACAAAGGGCACTCTAATTTCGCTTGCTGCTTGTTTCCGGTTGATCAAATTTGGCTGCACCACAACGGCAGCCCACCTGCCCAACACCAGCTGTCCGAGGATGTATTGGTGCAGGCTAACAGTCCTCCTGTGTTTTTATCCTGTGAAGATCTATTCTCGAGTTTTATATCACGAGAGTTTTCCACCAAAAATGTACCAAAGCAGCGAAAGGCCCAAAAAAGTCCCGCCGGTCCATGCATCATGTTTTAAATAACTCTCTTGTGATGATGGCAAGTTTCCGATAAGAACCGAATTTGATATAAGAACCGAATTTGACATCCGAAACAACACCACAAACAAGAACATGACATGTTCAATCAACACTGCGGGTGCATGCGCGAAAACTTGCCTACAGCAGCAGAGTTTCACTTGGCCCGCTGCGAAGTGTAAAAGAGCAAACGTAGGTACTGTTGTTGGACTTTTCGATGACACGAAGAGTCACAGCGATGTGAAATAGAGGAGGTGATGAAGCAAGAGGCAAATAATATTTCAAACTGTCCACCTGGGTTGCAAGCCCCCACAAAAAGCTTTTTTTTTTTTATTAAGACAAGGCATCGATCACGCGGAGCCCCTACAACGGCCAGATTCCTATGGGACAGGCCGTTGTTCGTCAACAACTCCGGCTGTAGTGGCGATCCAAAATGTTGAAACCTTCTAAAAGCATGTCTCTACAGCGTGGTGCCATAAAAATATTGGACTGGATCGTTTTTTGAAGGTGTAAGAAGAGCGTCGAAGGTCAATTTTCGGGGGAGGTTGGCTGAGAATCCAAACAAAATTGGAGGTAGGGCAAACCAAATGTCTGCGCGTGTAGAACATGACATGCTTGAGGTATCCTGCAGGTTTCATGGCACGTCGCCATCCATCTGTGTGAGGAGGACCAGCAGTGACAAAGGTGTGCGCCAGATGGTGCGCTGGGCAACCCATCATGGGAGCTCAAGCGGGGTATAATCGATCTTCGCGGAGCCCCTTTGTCATAGTTTTTTTGCTTTTTGTGTGACTTGCAACCCGGGTGATGGGTTTCAGAATTGGTTAGTCAGGCGTTGCCTGCGCGGAACGCGCCCCCGGGGTTTCAATCCAGTTTTCACAACTTTGACCGTCAACCACACGCGCCACGGAGGCCTGCCGAGCTCCGGGCACGAGCTTTGATATACCGACGAGCCTCCTGTGTGCCCCTCATAAGGAATTGGGAGAAAAGATTCGATGCCACGAGAGAAAGAAATGCCGGAGCCGGAACAGTGACCAGATCTTTATGTGCATACAAGGTCTCCCTTCGGGACGTGGGTCTCAAGCCTCTCGCGGGCGACGCAAGACCACATGCGCGTTGCTCGAAATAGCCGGTTTCCTTCCACTCACTGAACAGATTTCAACACATCCCTTTCGACTGGGGTTATATCTCGAACGTGTCGTCTTCCTGTGAGATTATGTAAACTTTTTAGAAAACAAACGTAAGCTCCTTTGTACATGCCGCGTGTATTGTAGACTACCGTAAATGGCACAAGATAACGCACACCCTGGACCGATTTTCAAATCTCGATAGAGTCACAGCGCCAAAAACGGTGGCGTCGAACCTGTTTCGTCGAGAGCTTTCCGACAGTGTATTGTTTCATTTATGCATCCTCTTCGTCATGGTGCAATCGAGCTTTGAAGATTGCTCCAGGAGGTGTGTTATCTTGTGTCATATACGGTACGTGTAGACCGCGGCTCTTTTTCCGTGTTCCTCTCGGTTACTTGTACTCTTGTCCATTTTTTCTCGAAGCCGCCAGCAGGGACTGCTTGGCTTGTAGCCAGTCGTTCCTGTTTCCACATGTTTGATGCTTGAGGATGCCCCATAAAGCCTGCATGATAAGATGTAGAGTTGATTCTTGCCTCAATCAAGCTCGAGTAGGAGGGCAATCAAGGAGGTGTTTCCTCTTTGGGATTTGTTTTACAGATCACAGTATACAGATCACAGTAGTCTACTTAGGTCAGGTTGGCGCCACGTTCGGGTGAGCTTTGTGTGTGCAAGCAAGGATCGCTATCCCTACGCTCGGCGCTTATGTGCGAAATTGAACTGAAGTAGGGTGTAGTGAACGTTCAGACGTCTTAGCGTATGTAGTACTTTGAAGAGAGGCCCACGCTTGTTGTATCCACGCACCTCTAACGATGGAACCCACGCCGGCCTCTCCTCGTCTCCCTGGCATCTTCGTGCTATCCAAGAAGTAGGTCAGCAATGCCTTTCTCTTCAGTCTCTTACGGCGCACGCACGCTTGCTCTTTCCGTTTTTTTGTCTGACAGAGTGCACGGATACTGCTCTTCTTCAAGGTCCACTTCTCACAAAGCTCCCCGAGCATACCCGCCCGACCAGCACAGCCATGGCCGCAGAGGTGAGACGGACACGGACATTTCTCGAAAGAAAGACTTGAACAGGTGAAGTTTGTGGATGGGTGATGGGTTCTTTTATCGTTTCCCATCCGACCACGACGCTCTCCTCGGTTCACCAGACCGATTGGTTTCGCTCCCATATGTCCCTCCGCGGTGAACAAAGCTACTGCCTCACCCATTTCGAAGAATTCTTACAGGATGCATCACATACTTGCCAGAATTACAGGAAGTTCTTTTCTGTCGAATAGTGTACGAGATAGTATAGAACAAAAAGCGAAGTAGGATAGATCCATGCGTCTTTTCTGCCTTGGTTCCAGATGATACCTACACGCACGCACTGCACGAAACCCACTTTCCCGGCTCCTCTTCAGACGATTGTGGCAGCACACTGCCTGGATTCCATCGATGTGCCTCCCTTGATGCTCAAGGTCCCAGAGAATACTGACTACTTCGAGTTGGCCCAGAAGATCACGGGGGCCCTGCAGTCTTACCGCGACAAGGACGGAGAAGAAGTCTTCGTGAAGCAGGTTGGCTGCCTGATGATGTGTGCTCGAGTTCCATTCATTTTCGGCCAACACCTGTACCTTCCGCCTACGAAATATTAGTTCCTATCGGTGTCTTCCCTACCCCTCCGACCGCTCATGCTGTACATATTGCCGACCCCCTAGCGACCCAGTTCTAGGGTTGGGGCGATTGTGACCGCGGTCTCCAGGCTCCCAGCAACGATATTCAGGGCTCTGGCTGGCGCTGGTTCAGACTCTTCGGCCACCGTATTAGTGGTGCTTGTAGTTTACGTCTACTGTTTAGGTGCCCAATCTCGCGAACCCGATGACCGTAATCACATGCCTTGCAATCACGCAGACGAAAACCTTTAACAACCACATACAATATGTTGTATTCCCCGGGCCCGAGGTCGACTGTAGTGCATATGCTGTCTACCTGAATGCTCCAAGCTGTCGTTTTTCCTGTCACTCCTCGTTCTTCGCACGATACCATACCCTGTACTACTAGTAGATACGATGGCAACGCAGTGGTCGCATTCTCTTCCGTTTGTTGATTTGTAAGCAACAGTCTCTCTTGCACGCGTCTTTCCGCCCCCTCCTGTCAACCCTAAGCATTGCATTGTCGGCCCCCCCACACAGCAGTACCCCCCCTGACTGAGCTGGGAAAAGTAGAAGACAAGTACAGGGAGATGTTTGAGGCATGGGATAGGCAGGAGAAGACGTTACCTGTACTGGGGCATAGGAAGTGGGTTGAAAAGGCGAGAAGTAATATCGGTAGGATAGAAAGACTAGGGAAGACATTTTTATGCCACCTTTGGCAAAGTAGGAAGGAACGATTGGCCATCGGTGATTGGTCCTGTGGGAACAGTGCTCCATCCTCTCGAGGACGCGTGGTCAATGGTCTAACCGCTAAGGCATGCAAAACGCAAGAGTACGCCCCCGCTGCGCTACTGTCGCCCCATCACCCCCGGGCTGGAACGCCAGCCTACTGGAACAATGGAATTCTGCCATCTTGACACCGCTTTTTCTGCAACTTGGCTCGGGAACTCTATCAGTAACGCTTTTGGCGAAGCTCATCATGGGACGAAGAAGGTTTTGTGCACGGAACTGGCGGAATGCGGATGCGTGATCTTTATTGTTTTTTTAGCAACGGCGAGAAGAAGGCACACGCCTTTCATATCGCACCGCGAAAGAACCGGTCAGAGCGTGCGGGAGAGGGTAGTTCCAACCTTTTTCCTCCACACTTACGATGCCCCAAGGCATCTAACCTGGTACCAGCAAGATGCTGGGTAGAGCTAGCTCCCTCGGGGTGGCATTGCTGTTGCTGTTGTTTTCTCCTTCGAAAAGTTATCGCTGGAAAACCAAACCATGTGCACACAATCCCTGCGAACTGGAACCAACCGTTCTCTGAGGTGGGTATTTTAGGGTCGACCAAAAAACAAATCCCGATGCGCACGATTCCCCACGGCACCAAACCTTGGGCATGAAAGATGGAGCAGAGAGCTACCTCCCGCCGAGTGGCCTTGCTCTTATTGCTGTTGCTTCCTCCTTCGGAAAGTTATCGGTGGATAACCTAACCCGTGGCGGAACTTGAACTAACCGCTCGCGGCCGTAGACGGTCGTGCACAGCACAATTTGTTTTTCCCGGGGCGCATTCGGCACCTCACGGCCCCAAACCTTGGCATTGCCCAACAGCCCATGGCATCACCTCCTTCCAGATACCATTCATGAGGCAACTAGTTAAGTATTCGTCGAGATATCGGTGATCACAGCCTTCCCACGATCGCAGCTGGAGAGGGTCTACGTGCGCGGTAGGGGTAGCACCTTGAGGTGGATTGGCGGAAGCTCCGCCGTGCAGCTTTTCCCGCCCCTTCCCGACTCGAGAAAAATTGCCAAAACTCTTCCGCCAGATTGCAGCTTTTCGCTCCGGAGAAAAAATTGCACAACTTTCCGCGCAGATTTTAGCTCCCATACTGAGCGTACATTAGGAAAATTGCAAGAAAAGTTGCAGAACTTTAACTTTCCTTGCAACATTCTGGAGCCATAAAAAGCGGTGTGTGAGTGCCGGTGGGTGCCAATCGTGAGTTGTAGACCTCTCGCTTGCAATCTATCTTTAACCTACCACATCATCGATTTCACCCAACCAACTGCTGTCTCATGAACATTGCCCGGTGCGTCACCGCTGCTGCTGCTGCTGCTGCTGTTGTTGCTGCTGGTGCGGTTTTGGAACAGGTTCTGCACGGCGGGTTCGACCAGAGTTTGGACGGTCCTGAGCTTACACCCTGAGGCTTTTACACTTTCTCGGGGGAACCAGTGCTGTTTCGAATGGGCCCGAAAGTGAGTGCACCCCGCACGGTACATTCTTTTCACACTGCACGTCTGGGCCGCAGAGGTCTGTGCAGGCGCACCAAACACATCTTTGCCGCCGGTTTCGATCCCGAGCATTGCTCCTCACGCCAAATACGCAGCGAATTCATTGGCCCGCTCTTTGAGTAGATCGTGGCACATCGATCGGTAGTTTTGCTGCCGCCACTGAGAGAGCGGGCCAAGGTGTTTTCATTCGGACGGCATGATCGGCAGAGGAGAAACAAGTGATTCAGCAAAAAAAAGAGGGGGAAGATGCTAGATTAATGTATTCCCAGCCACAAATAATACATAAGCGCCGTGGACGTGGTTTGAGTAGCCTGGCGGGCGGATTGATGTTCTTAGCCGGCCCGAGCGGGTAGACATCGCTGGCGAAGCCTTTTGGGCGTATGACATTCCCTCGTCCCTTCTACTGACCCGATACCGTTTGTGACCCCCCCCCCCCCCCGTCCCTATGGCTCGTCTGTTCTTCTTGGTTTCTTCCGCTCTCAGAAGCAGATGAACGTCTCCGTCCAGACTCCCGACCGGGAAAACACTCCAGCTTGTCGTCAGCACGAACGACACGACCACCGACGTGAAGAAAAAGATCCAGGACAGCGACGGCATCATCCCGCTCGACCAGCAGCGTCTGCTCTGCACAACCCAAATGATGGATGATCTTCGCACGGTTTCAGAATACAAGATCAAAGGAGACACGCTTCACTTGATTCAGCGTGTGAGCGGGGGCGGGTGGGCGTGTCCTCCCTCGCTTGGAAAGTATGTGATATTCGTCAAGACCCTCACCGGAAAAACTGTCGAGCTTGTCGTCGGCTCGTACAACACGATCGCCGACATGAAGCTAATGATTCAGGACAAGAAGGGGATCCCGCCCGACCAGCAGCGGCTGATATTCGGCGGCAAGCAGCTGGCGGACGGTCTTACGTGTTCATTTTACAACATAGAAGGAAATTCTACGCTTCACTTGGTCCTTCGCTTGAGAGGTGGATTCGCTGCTCCCACCGTTGCCGTTGGCGCGAAGTTTGCCGACGTTTCCGACTCGTCCGACCTCACAGAGCACGCCTTCTCGAACGACGCCCCGTCCTGGAGGGTTGCCGAGGCTGTGCCTGGAAGGAAGGTGCACCAACCGCCAATGCGACGCTCACGGCCGCATGGTCATCCTTAACCATGCGTTCCGGGACTTCGACCTGATCCGGCCCGGCAGAGACCCGAAGCGCTGCCCAATGTGCAACCGCGAGGTGGTGCCGAGCACGTGTGCCTTCACCGACTGCACGTGGAGGTACAAGGGGCGGAAGGCCGGGGAGACCAACGTCCTGGTCGGCATGTGGAAAGAGGCCGGCGACAGCTACCACCGCTTCGAGGAAGGGGGTGAGGTGCAGTGGGACAGGCTGCTCATCCAGGTCAGGCCCCTGCTCAAGCTCGAGCAACGTGTCCCTTCCGCACCACCGGCGGACGAGAGGATGGAGCGTCCCAACACGACAGCCAATACCGCGACGTCAACCGTAGCAGTCGTGATCGACCACACGTGGAGTCGATGCACGAGGTGCACGGATTGTTCCGCGTTCGGGGCAACCCCTGCGTCCGACGAGACGGTCCTGGATTGTGGCCACCGGTTCCACACCAGGTGCCTCGCGGGCTGGGAGCAGGGCTCGATGATCGTCTGTCCCATCTGCCGGGAAGAGTCGTCGCCGCTGCCTCAGTAGAGAGCAGTGTCGACATGCATGTTGGCATGTTTGACCGACCCAGGGCTCGACGCAGTGCGCATGGTGTGTGTGTCGTGTGTTTGAATATCGAGGCATCGTTACTTTACCGGATGAAAGAAAAAACGTGTTTCTTTCTTTAGATGGGTCACCTGTCAACCCCAGGAGGCGTAGATATGCTGCTCTAGTGGTTTGATGATGAGCTCCTCCTCCTGCAAGTGTTTGGTCGAGTTGTGCGGGTAAATGCCAGGCATACGTTGACTGTGATCCGAAGACGAAGCAGAACAGGAGAGCGTTTATATCTCCGCCGTGATTGCCTCGGGGAGTCGTCTGTATGACGTGAGTTGGGTTGGTTTGGGTTCAGCTGGGTTGGGTCGGATCAACTTGGGTTGGTCGGTTTTGGGTACTGAAATGTGCCCTGTCGATTTCACGTGTTCGTACCACGGGGTACATTAGGAAAGGGCACATAGCAGGTCTCCACCCACGGGGGTGTTGGGATACCTCTGTCGCGACACGACACGGACACTACCATGTGATATTGCGTGGTCTCGCAAAGTTTGTGCGACTTGGGGGCGCCATTTCGAACCTAGCTGCGCTGTAAGTTGTTGTAATATCGGTCGCCGAACGCGCCACGAAGATGGCCGATCTGAATGTAATGTTTGTGCACACATCTGGTTGTATGGGACGAACCATCCCACTGCAACCAACATGAATGCGAATATTGGAACAGGCACACAGCGCGTCGTACCAAGTCGCGGGGCGAGGTGGAGATGAAACAATGCGTCAAGTTCCCCAAACGGCACACACGCACGTGGTAGGGCAAACACATGCACTAGCATGCATAGAAAATGAAACCCTAACAACGCAACACCACACAGCGGAATATGAGATGGAACCCTTGGTAGTTCAAGCCAAATCATGGATGAACCAAACCCCCATGCTCCCACAGACACAAACCATACACACAAACTCGTCGGTTCAGCCGGGAAGCGCGGTCGAAGCTAACAATGAGAAAGACACACGCGCGCGTGCGTTTGAACAAAAAACACATCTTGGTTAGAATGTGACAATTTATCCACGGCGGTCGACCCTCCGTTTGCTACAATAGTCGTCCCAACGATTTTACTAGGCGATTCACAACGATGCCTCCTAGTCTACTCCTTCTCAAGCCCAAAATAGAGCCAGAGGCTCGGCACGAAGTAGCAGGAACTTTTTCCGCACGGACAAAACGATTGGAGCGGGGGCGGGGGGTGGGAGGGAGGGCGGGATCGACGCCATTCGTTGAAACGGCGAGACGGAGATGGGACGGTCGGTGAGTGCGTCGCGTCGTGATTGTCCCGAATAAACGTGCGCCTTTTCCTACAGACGATAAATATATATCTAGACCACATGCCCAAAACTCTCATTATTTCCACAACATTTTCAGCAGGTATTTAGGTCCCTACGAAAGAAACATATCGATCATCATGCGGGGCACGTCCCAGTTACAGCATCTCAGTTGCAGAGCGGCTACACAAGAACAGCAAAAAAAAAAACACCACCACCGAAAACGCTCTCTCTCTCTCTCTCTCTCGAGCACGAACGACGGTGTGCGTGCTCTCCGTCGGAGCACCCTACCCACCCACCTGAACCCCATGCAGCCGTACACCACGACCTTGGAAGGGATGTCCACCAAATTCCTCCGCGGGGTCTCCCCCTTGGGCCAGCTGGGGCTGCGGGCTAGCACGGCTGATAGCGCCCCTTTAGACACGAGCTTCAGCACCGACCTGAAGCGCCGCCAACAAAAAGGCGGGGGTATACCTACTCGTGAACGCGCATGCCGTAGTCGTGAGACCATTGACCTCGCATCCCTACAAAGCCGGGACGGAGCACGCTGGGTTCTCACCGGACCAGGCTCTCACATCACCAAGCGCGAAGCGGGGAGGGAAGGGAGGGCTCATAGCCGTGCATGTTGTATTCGTTGGACCATCGACCTCGCATCGCCACATTCCCGGGACGGAGCGATATGCCGGGGGGGAGGGCGGGGTGATATGACGCGGACCCCGGGCAAGGCGGTAGTACGGCATTTTCGCTGGCGAGGGGGCGGGGAGATAACTCCGTTTGGGGCTTGGGCATATGACGGTTCGCAGGGTAGAGATGTAGTACCTTGACCTTTGCCTTACGCGCGCCCATCGACCGGAAGCAAATAACTTCAGCCGGGCGTCCGGGAGGAAGAGGATGGACGGGGGAGACGTGCTACGGTACGGGCGGGGTGCCTTCCGCCGCGGTTAACTTGGTCCCACACTCCGTTTCCCCCGCTACCGTAGCCACGGTTCGACTGGGCTGTGCGGGCAGAGTGGCCTGTAGGATGTCGCAACAATAACCAGTCACAGCAACAGTAACAACAACAATGACAACAACAATGATAACAACAACAACAACAACAACAAAAACAACGCACCTCATTGGCAAGAGGACTAAAAACCCCACGCCGCACCGCCTCCCGTCCCCGAGCAGTGCGCCCCACCCGTACCCTTCGGCTCGCCCGGAGGAGAGCAAGTGAACTCCTTGCAGGACCTGTAAAAAACACGCGGGTCGTACCACGGTACAGTACGCGGGAAGGACCGCACGGCGGGGGCGGGTGTCCGAACAAGTCGCAACGGATTGACAACGGCTTCGACACACAGCAAACCACTGCACTGCACCGACGTCATTTTGCTGGTCGATCGCTGGTACCAGACGTCTTGTTCATTGGTCAGGCGGTTAGCGCGGTCGATGCTAGTCATGAACAAACACACACACACACACAAAAGAATTTAGCTTGCCCCATCAGATCATGGACTTTACAAGTATTCTTTGTTTGCACCCGCACTGAGACTGACGTCTTTCCATCGGCCAGGCAGTTAGCGCGGCCGATGCCAATAATCAAGCGACACACACACAATCAGGGACGTTGCGCGTCGCGACACGCACGAGACAACCCTGGCTACGGGCACGTTTCCAGCGCCACAAAAAACTTGACCCGCATGGTTCTACCCCTGGTACTGCTGTGGCTGGCTGTGGGAACATTCCCAGCAAAAAAACCTTGGCGTCTACCAACAACCACTGCACCACCGCCACCAACCACAACAACAATAACAACAACAACAACAACAACAGCAATAAATACAACAAATACACCACCACCACCACCACCACCACCAATACCAACACTTACAACACACCTGGAGAGTAACGTCACCAGTGCCGCCGCCGCCGCCGCCGTCACCCCTACCGCCGCGATGCAAAAGGCAGCAGGCCTCAAGGAAACCCGCCGCCGTGGCCACGATGATTACGGTGTCCCCGAAAGAGTTCGTCCACTTTTTGGGGCACGGGTAGGCCAAGATAGCCCCGCCCGCCCCGCCCAAGACAACCAACCAAGCCTGCACACGATTGGAGCGGGGTACTCACGTAAACGCATGCCGTAATATAGCCGTAGAGCTGGCATCCCTACGATGCCGGGACGGGGCGAAACTTGGGTGAGGGGGGGGAGAGATGGATACGGACTGAGGACTGCTCACGCTTCGCTGTTTAGACGTTTCTCACTTGAGACGGGGGTATCGGAGAGGGTCACAGCAAAACATTCACGTGGGCAAACCACCAGTTGAAGGTGATATTGCAAAAGGAGAGGTCCTGGTTGCCTGGGGAACGAGTATGTTCCCCGCAACGTAGGCCAGCCGTTTTCACTGCACTCTCCTGGGTATATGATGCACCCTTGCCCCTTACCACCGGGTTTCTCACCGTGAAGGCGTCTACGGCTTACCTCTCAAAATGGTATTTTACGGGTTACCGCATACCATTGGGTTTCCCACGGTGAAGGCGTCTGCAGTATACCATATTCGACACAAGATAACACACCCCCTGGACCGATTTTCAAAGCTCGAATACTACACGACGAAGAGGATGCACAAACGAAACGATACATTTTCGGAGAGGCATCGACCCGACGGCTTGAACGCCGCCGTTTTCGACGCTGCGGCTTTTTCTGTTGTTCATAAATCGAGCTTTGAAAATCTGTCCGGGGGGTGTGCCATCTTGTGTCGTATACGGGTGCCCCTCACCATGGGGTTTCCCACGATGAAGGCGTCCACGGCGCCCCCGAAGGCGAGCCAGAACGTCAAAAGGAAGCCTCCTAACAGATACCCCGCAAGCACGTCAGGAATCGAGTGCACCTGCCGGCGAGAACCAAAAAACGAAAGCGGAAGAAAAAATGAACAAAACACGCAGCCGTTCCTTTCGGAAACAGGCAAATAAAGACGACAAACCTTGGAGGGTAAGTGAACAAAAACAGCCGCCATACAGAGAATAATGCAGGGTTAGAGTCGCCGGGAGCAGGACATCGGGAGAGTTGGCGGGGCTTATTTTGTCTGCGTGACAGGGAGGGTGCCACACTCAAATAATGCATTTTTGGGGACCCACCAGTATCGCCGCCGTCACCAGTAATGTTCTTGCTGCAGAGAAAATCGAGGTTTGAAAACGGTCCAGGGGGTGCGGCATCCTATGCAACCTATGAGGTCGCCACATTGCTCTTGAGTTAGTGGGATCAGGATCAGAACACATTCTTGCCTTTGAGTTGAGTAGTGGAGTCACACAAGCAAGCGCGCCTGCCCAAAGGGTTGTTTTCAACACAGCTGTTTTGCTTCCAAATTTCCAAATTCCAAATTCCAACTTTGCAGATTTTCCAAAATTTGGAAGCAATTCGTTCCAAATTTTTCGGTGCCAGTAGTTTCCGAGTTTCCAAAAAAAGATCCTCGTCCGCAAATCGGCAAATCGAGCTTCTATGGTCTACGGATTTCGAAATTTGGCAATGTGGAAGCTAAATACCAGCTGTTTAAGACGACCCTTACAGATTTGAAAACATGGAAGCAAAACAGCTGCTGTTTAAACCGGCCCTTGCGGTAACAAAAAAGTAGAATAAGCTCACACACTCTCACCCCCATGTACAACCTGCTGGTCGCGATGGCGGAGCTCCAAGCCAGGCACGCCCACAACAACACCCCCGCGGTCGGATAGCTACTATCCCCGACGACATCGGCGGCGCCGCCCTCGAGGAGGGAGCAGTCATTGCCGTCGCAGCCGCTGCTTCCGCTGCCGCTTCCTCGCCGGGAATGGCAAGCCACGAGGAACAACGGGATGAGCGAGCCCATCGTGTGCGTGCTTGGGAGGCCGTACCTGCGGGGGGGAGGGGGGGGCGCCGTCGGTGATACATGGGGGGGGGAGGGGGGGTGCAAAACGGTCGAGTTGTGGAGGATTCTTAGATTTGGAGGTAATGGAGGCGTCATATTTAGCGAGCCCTTCCTAGAAGGTACGTGGTGTGACGCTGGATGCGTTTTCCATCTCTTTTATTTTTCATCGCCACATTCGTTCGAGTAAAACGATGGGAGAGGGCGAGGAACGAAGCGAATGTCGTCACCCTCTTCCTCGACCAGGAGGGTTCTCTTATCTTGGTGGCATTTTGAAGCCAAGGAAAAGACCCCCCGTCACAAGCGCGCGTGATCGCACATACACCCTTCTCTAACCCCGAACTTCAAAGAAAGCTCGAATTGCTCCACAACCAAGAGGCGAGATGACAAAAACGCCCGATCGATGCACGAAGCAAGGAAGGCTCTTGTCGAGATCTATCTTTTCTACGCAACTTTCTTCGTCAGTGACAGGCTCGCGGTAGCGGAGCAATCGGGCTTTCAACTTCACTCTAGCGGGTGTAAGTGTGTTCCCCCATAAGCGGCTTGCGTGAAGTGTGCTACAAAAAAGCCCCAAGTTGAAATTCCGATAAGCTTTTTCGGCCCTCGCCATGACTTCTACGTGCACCCTTGGGGCGTGTGAAATTACTCGCACTCTTCTTACAATGGAAGGAAAAAGAAGAAACACGATCTGGGGGGCGCAATCAATCAAGTTTTGCATGCCCAGCGGTTAGACCATTGTCCTCGAGGGGACAGACGGAGCGTTGTTTCTACAGGATTGATCACCGATATGGCTAATCACTCCTTTTCCTGCTTTGCCAATTGTGGCTCAAACATTTTGACAGTATCACTTCTCGCCTGCGTTATACCACTGGGGGTTGAGGGTCGAGGGTCGAGGGTGCAAAACGAAGTAAGCGTGGGCTCCAGCAACTAAATAACCATTGCTCACAGCAGTGGTCTGGAGACAAGAAGCGCGTGCTTGCAGTTGGACAAAACAAAAACATCTCGGGATACGTTCGGGTAGCAACATGTGTCGGACAAGTAAGTGGTTAATTGTAAGGGATTTCGATAGGTTTTGATTTTCGAACGTAATCATAATCTTGGTAACAAATCATGATTCATGTCGAAAATTCACGATGGAATAAAATCGTTTCTGGACTCGTTTTCGAAAAATTCGAGGAAGTGGTCCGATTTTGGAGACATCGATAAATTTTGAAGTATTCTACATGAGTGTGGGTGAAATCGGCTGGATTGCACCGGGATTAATATTACCGGGACCATTAATGCCATAATTCTCGGCCATTATTCGACATGTTACAATTGCATATGAACTTCCCAAGCAGCGATTTTCGTTTCGAGCCATGCTTGTTAATACATTTTTTCCGTACGCAAAAATACTCGGCGTGTTTCACCAGTTCCACCATCAACTCTGTAGACTGGTACATGTAACACCCAGAATAGATGGGACGACAATACACAACCCATGACGAGACAACATTATTACGTACATTACCGATAGTGAAATATAAGTCAAATTATTTCGAGATTTTCCAACCAGCTCCCAGAGCTCCGTTGGTAGAGCGCGGCTCTGATAAAGCCGAGGTCCCGGGTTCGAACCCCGGTGGGAGTATTCCTTTTTTGATTCGGACTTTTTTTTTTTCCCCAACTTGTTTTGTCCTGGGCGTTTTTTTGTTTCATGTGCAATGAGTTGCTTTCGTGCGCGTCTTTTTCAAAGCTTTTATGACTTTTGCTGGGAGAGCATTGTTAGCATTGTTAATATGCATGAAACTATCATATTTTGTTAAGATTGTTATTGGTGTTCATCAATTAATTTGGTCTGTATACATCTCGCCGCATTGTTGTTTTGTTCTCCTCTGTACATACCACGTTCGTTCGTTCGTTCGTTCATAACATGCGCATAATATTAACCACACGCCCAACTTGGTATGGTCGAGCTTCGTTGCTCAGCTCTACCAACCATTGGCCGTTGCGTTCCTTGCCTGCTGTTGGCAATGGATGTTTTCTTATGCAACAACAGCAGCAACGATTTTTTTTGCTCCCTCGTTTTCCTCCTTCTATTCGGCTCTTCTATTGTTCCACCGTGCATAGCTGGACTGCCTACTTATTTTATGGGGACAAAAAGTCCAGGGAGGGGGTACGCAGGCCCTACTCAACCCCAACGTAGCCGATCCTATACTTTAGTATGTTTACTTAGCTAGAAAAACCTGCGTAGACTACTGGCATAGTTCTCGGAAGTACCACAACAATTTGGAACAAAGGCTCACGTGGATGGTATTTGTGTTCCTCGATGACAATACGCACGCACACGCTTACACTCACTCTGCGGAGTAACGGTGCTCCAGACGAACGACCGGCGCGGGGGGTCTTGGTAGCCGAAAAACCTCCTGTATTATGTAGATAGATAATTCGTTGAATAAATAACTTGACAAGAAACGAACACAAACACGCGTGTTCTGCGTAGCATGCCCAACGTCGCATATATGCCATGCATACCCAGGATTCAGACGATTTGCTATGCCAGGGTGACCCTAGAGCCTTCCTGTCCAAGAAAAAGCGGGCACCGCGTGCGGTCTGGAGGCGACATTATTATCCAGTTTCACGCCTAAGCCTTCACCGGTGCTCGGGGCGGCGGTGGTGGTGCAGCACACGCATGTTTGTGTAGATGACAGGGACACGGATGCTCAGGAACGGATTCATCGATGGGTGCATGCATGCATGGAAGATTTCTTAACCCGCCGGTCTGTTGTGTGGAGAAGAAAGGGACGGCGGCGGTTGAATGCACGGGCAACCCTCAAAAGCAGAAAGCAGACGGTTTCGATGTTTTAATGATCCTCGGCAATAAGAGAGCGCACATACACAGCATCGGTATGCCCGCCGTTCGCGTTCGATCTCGCCACGCATACGTACGTACAGACAGCAACCCCGGGGAGCCCGCCGACAAGTAAGAAGAAGATTGTTTGCGCTCGTTACACCGCCGCTACAGACTCGACGTCTCCTATTCGTCAGTTCAGCCGGTTTCTTGATGCTACCCAGCAGTATAGGGATAACAAAATGCACAAGAGTCACACCTTAGCCGCTTGGCCCGCGTAGTAAGTGGAGGCCCAGAAGAACGCGAGGCGGCGGCCCAGCTCGAGGTCCAGCACCCAAGCGCAGAGCGGCAGGGCCACTGTGTAGAAGGCCTCGTCCCCTAGGGCCGACGCCGCGGTGAAGAGGGCGTGAAGGGGGGCATTGCCGACCCGCCCGGCCGCGGACACTCCGCAGGCTGCTTGGAAAGATCTGTCGTTTCAGTCAGCCGTGTTGTTATTGTTGCGAGAAAGGACTCGACGGCGCGTTGTTGGTGCATCCAGCAGTGCGGCAGCACGTGGTCATTTAGGCGGAAGAAAAGGTAGAAGCTTACGGCCCGGTGCGTGAGAACTGCCCCTCTTTAATTGGGGGCCGAATGGATACCGACTGCCCGTAGGTGACAACTGACTGCTGTGGATCTTGGTCTGTTTCAAAGAAACAAAAACAACAGCAGAGAGAGCTTGGGGTTCCAATTTACTTGTTGTCTCCGAAATACCACGAAGATCGTGGTACTTCGCTCGACTGCAAACGTGACAGTGACAGACTACGAGAGGGCTACGGTACAGCAGCGTCTACAGCAGTGGCATATATGTACGCGATGTATAGACTACGAGTCGAAAACCACGCTTCTAGTCTGTACAGCAGTACCGACTCCCATCGAAGGCTCCTCCTGGGGTGAAACAATCTCACACTATGGGCCCCATTTTCAGTGGCACCTGTCCTCGACCGTGGGGTATTTGATTATCGTACCCAACTTCGGTGGTGGGTAAGCAAATCGCGCGTGGTGGGTGGATCGATCAACTGCAGCGAGTGTGCCGCTCCTGGTGTTGCTGGTGCTGCTGCTTGTACAGAACATTTCTTTGAAAATTTGAATTGCAGGGAAGGTTTGGAGTCCAGGTTGTATGTCATGCCATCACACACCTCACGTAACCCAGCAGGCGCTTGGAGGTGACGGCATCGCAAAGATTTCTCCTCAGAGACCCGGAAATAACTCTCCCGCTGAACCACTTGGGCCTACACATCTCAAGGTACTACCACGGCTGACTGCTGTTACACATGCTGCATGTGGACGTACAGCAGCATGCACACATCTCCGCAGGAGAACAGGGGGGAGGTGCATTTCTGTCGCGGAGCCCCTTTCGCGTCGCAGCCGCGGCTGCTGGGCACAGGGCAGGCCGCTGCACGCCGGACACCTGTGCTGCATTCCTCGACAAAAAGTCCGTCGAGGCGGCAGCCTCTCTCTCTTCACTCCCTTCTTGCCCAAGCGCCGGTGTGGCCAGCTTGTGGCGCCTTCCCTTGTGGTGTGCTCGCAGAGAGCAAAAAGCGGAGACAGAGAGGCGGAGGGAGCGGCACCAGCCGGACAAACCCATGAAGAACAACGCGGCAAGCAGGAGCAGGCGGGGCTCGCCGTCGCCTGCGGCGGCGCCGCCATCCACAGGTGCGACGTCGGGGGTCGATGAAGCTATAGGCGTTCGTTGATTGTCGTGCGTGACGTTCGGTTCCGCTTCTGCTATCCTACGTAAGCGTATGATACGTGCGGCGCTATATCTTCGGTGGTGTCGCGGTGGTGTGTGCATCATCTCCCAAAACCGGTACAAAGAAGGCATCAACAACCAACAACCACGCTTTTTTCGCGCCATTGTTGTGGGGCAGATCCTTTGTCTGAGCTGCAATTTGCGGCATGCACGTGCCGGAAGTGTTGCATGCACGTTCGTCGCGATCTTTTAAGCAACGGAGAGAGTTGAAAGACAGATGGTGGACATGGGATTGATCGGAAGACAGCTGTTGTTGTCATCTGGGTGTGGTACAGGGTGTGATCGTGCAGCGCGCGGAGGGTCTGATGCAGCAGCAGCAGTGCACGCCATCTATCCTGCTATCAGCGCTTTGCTTTCCAAGGCAACCTTCCCATTAGCGCACCTTTCCACGCATACGTGCAATGCCCCCGTCTTGCGTGTCGATCGGAATACTGTGCAGCAGCAGCAATCGCGACACCCGTCGCGGAGCGATTTACCACGGGTTTTGCGTAAGATACCGCACCCCCCTTGCATAATTTTTTTTTTTTTTCAGAGCTCGACTTACTCCACAACGACGAGGATGTCAAGATAGACCGATCCGTTTCCCAATACGTCTCCAGAGGAGACGGTTCCAACGCCTTCATTTTCGGGACCGCCACTGCTCTCTACTACTACAGAACAATCGAGCTCAAGTGAGCCCACGGGCCCAGCGGTGTCGTAACGTACACATCATGTACGGCAGTCTGATTTTGTAGCGCGGTCCATGTCACGAGGGCGTTCGGTGTCCATGACTATCAATCTTTGATGTCGTCTTGGTCAAACGTCAGCATGGATGTAACCACAACTTCCCATGAAACCCGGGAATCACAGCAGTGACAGCAGACGTAGCTTGCCCTCTTCATCGATCGATCACCATTTCCACGGACAGGGGTGTTCATGCAACCAACCCTCCACCCCCCCGGGCGAAAACCCGACACTTCGCTCGGTCCCGGCATCGTAAGGATGCGAGGCCAATGGTCTAACGACTACGGCATGCGTTTACATGAGCATGAGTACGCCCCGCCCCCCCTCCGTGCCACTCGCCGAATACCTCACGCTGCGCTTCGCGCTTGGTGATGTGAGAGCCTGGTCCGGTGAGAACCGGGCGTGCTCCGTCCCGGCTTTGTAGGGGGATGCGAGGTCAACGGTCTAACGACTACGGCATGCGTTACATGAGTAACCCCTGTCACGCCCTTGTCGCCCTCCTCTTCCCTCAGCCCCAAGGAGATACGATGATCACTCATCACTCCAAGATATTACCAACGATCCCAAGCAATCAGCCATTCATAGAACCGGCCAGAACCTGCTTCGAACCAGACCCCCCCACCCCCAAATGCCCGAAACGCACAGCAGTGCAGAAGCCAAAGTCTTCCTCCTCTTATGCCACCATCGGTGGCGGGGGGGGTGTGAAGGGTACCGATCCAGACGCCGGGGGCGCGTGGCCGGAGGAGCCCGCGGAGATTCGGACCGGCTTCCCGGCTGTGATGAAGTACGCCATCCTCGCCATGATCTGCGCCCTGGCGTTCTTCATCCGCCTCTTCGCGGTGGTAAGTCATATTGCTTGCATGCATTGATCGGTACGGACAGAAGAAGGTTCTGGGCGGAGAGATCGGAACGGTTTTGACTGCAAAGACAACAACAAAATGCGTTGGTGTCTTGTGTGTGTTCTGTTTTTTGTTTTTTTTTGCTTTCTTGATGTTTCAACAGCAGCCGCTGCTGTACCTTTTTTGGGTGTTCAAAACCACATCAGGCATGCGCATCGGTTGAACCGCCCCATCCGCCTATGGGTGTGAAAAGGTACTGGGCAGAGGTTGGATAGTGTTTACGATGTAAAATCAGTAATACCAGTGAAAAAAATCCGCCATCATGCCAGGTGTACATAGCGGAACTGAAGAATGCACGTATAATCACACCTGTTTTGTTGATGCTTGTAGGCCTGTTTTCGCGGGCCAGTGTCTTGACCCTTCCCCATTCGTTGTTGCCGCAAGAAGACGCATTCTATGCATCCATCCGGAGGTGTTGGGGGTGCTCGGAAATTTAAAATTTAGTCAGGGGTGGGGTGGAAATCAGCGGATGGTAGTGAGTGAACCGGAAATTGAAGTACCGCGAGGGAGCGTGATTTGACCCCGCTGCTGCTGTGGTGCCACTGGCATGTCTCATGACTCGGCACTTTTACGGTACTTTGGTGGCGAAAATCGGTCCCAAGTCAACGCTCTACTCACCACCAACGCCCATGCGCGACGTTTAGTCCTTGTCTTTCCATCGCCCCCCCTCCCAGAACTAAAAGAAGGAACGAAAACAAGTCAAAACTTGAAATTATACATTTTTTTTCTCCCCGTGTGGGTGGGCCCTGGCTGCATGATTCAACACGGCAGGTGCGCTACGAGTCCGTCATCCACGAATTCGACCCGTATTTCAACTTCCGTACCACCAAGTTCCTGGCCACGGAAGGGTTCCTGGACTTCCTCAACTGGTTCGACGACCGAGGCTGGTACGACCTCGTCGTATGGGTTAACGATACCATTAAAAAAAAAAAAGTGCCCCATGCACGATGCATGATGTGTGTATTCTGGAGATGAATCGGCATCTATTTCTTCAAGTCCTCTGGGGGGTGGGGGGGGGCGAGGTCCGTCGTCTTGGGAGTGTGTTCTCCGGAAAGTTCTTTTTTTCATGTCGCGGAGGAAAGTTCTTCCGTCGGCCTTTGCCCTAACAAGGAGATGGATGTCCGTTCGTGCCCCCCTGTGTTATTAGTGTAATTTGCCTTTTGGGATTGTCCGCCGCCTTGGTTCCCTGTCGGGAGGGGCGGTTCGAGTTTGTTTTTATTTCCTTCGGAAGGGTACCCCCTCGGGAGAACCAACGGAAGCACCGTCCAAACTACCAAAGTCTGATATTTTCTTCTTTTGTTATAATATTTTTGCAGGTACCCCCTCGGGACAACTATCGGAAGAATCATCCCACCCGAGTCTGACCTTTTTTTTTTTTGTTGTGGGTTCAGGTACCCCCTCGGGAGAACCATTGGAGGTACCATCTACCCGGGTCTGATGGCCACCGCGGCGTCGTTCTACTGGATCCTCCACGCGCTCCACATCACCATCAACATCCGTAACGTGTGAGTTGCACAGTGGTGTCTCAGCTTCCTCTGTGTGTGTGTGTGTGTGTGTGGCTCTCTCTCTCTCTGTCCCTCTCTCTGTCTGTCTTTTGTCTCTCTCTCTGTCTTCTTCTTCCTCTCTCTGTGTCTCTCTTGTCTCTTGTCTCTCTCTCTCTCTCTCTCTCTCTCTCTCTCTCTCTCTCTCGTCTCTCTGGCCGGGTTTCTGTCCCTGTGTCTCGTTCGTTCTTTTGCCCTCTCTCTCTTCCAAAGCTCCACTAACACTCGACGTTTACGCACGCATGGGGATTTTGGGTGGGAGGCGCGTAATCGTTCGGTCAAACTCTTCTTTTTTTTTTGTCGTTGATGTTGCTCCTTTGCTTTCCCCGCTACGCAAGTGTGTCGCGCACAGACCGGTTTCATGTCGGGGTTGCCTATAGCATCAGAGCCGATGGATCACGCGCGCTATGCCTCCCGAGAATTGTTCTTGTAACTCTCGCCGTCTCTCTCCAAAGAATTAGTGGCATTTTTTTGCTTTTTTTTTTTTTGTACGATGTGTTGTGGTGGTGATATCCCTTCTTCTTTTTTTTGTTTTTTTGGTCAGGTGTGTCTTCCTGGCCCCGCTTTTCGCGGCCAACACGGCGGTTGCCAGCTACCTCCTCACCACCGAGGTGAGAGTTTTTTTGGTGGAAACGGTCGGGAGGTGTCGTTGTGTGCATCTATTATTACGTGCCCGTACCTGCCTTCCTGGAAAAGAGGGGGTCCCGTTTTCTTTCCTTGAAATGTCCGTGGACGCGTGCATGCACGTCCGCACCCTGGTACACATAACCCGGATATTCGCACACTTTTATTGGTTTGCGTAGAGCGTGCAAGGCGTACCTCTCTCTTTCTGTCTGTCTGTCTGTCTCTCTCTCTCTCTCTCTCTCTCTCTCTGTCCCTCGTCCTCCTTCTCTCTCCCGCTGTCTCTCTGTGTCTGTCTCTCTCTTTCTCTCTCTCTCTGTGCCTGTTGGTGTCATGTGGCCACGAACAACGCACGAGATTTTTGCGGAACAGGCCGTTACAGTACCGCCCGGCGATTGATTTTACCATATCCCGCGATGGCGTGCCTCGTCTTTTCCGGAACATGTAGAAAAAGCTTTTCTAATCGTGGAGAACTAGTGCGTGCCTCCCGAAGACAACTCTGTTTGACAATACAAGCACCATTTTGATACTGCACTGATGTAATGTTTCCGAACAGAGTGGGGCAACGACAACAACCCTCCTGCTTGTTACGTACGCAAAGGGAACTTCGACCACAAGTTTTGTTATTTCCGTCTTCAAAGTCAAGTGAAATGATCGATTTTCAACACCGGGCACCCGATATCCACTCAACAGAGTGGTAACAAACAACTGTCTTGTTTTGTTTGTTTTTTGCGACGGTTTCGTAAAACGCCTTCCCAGGTGACGAAGCGGTCGTCCACGGGGCTGCTGGCGGCCGCGTTTACGGCGATCGTGCCCTCGTACATCTCCCGCAGCGTGGGTGGGTCCTACGACAACGAGGGCGTGGCGATCTTCGCCCTTATTTTCGTCTTCTACCTGTGGATCAAGAGCGTCAACACCGGCTCCATGATGTGGGCGTGCCTCACGGTGAGAAACAGATGTTGTTGTGGTCGCCGCTGTTGTTGTTGTTTTGTTGTTGTTGCCGCTGGTGTTGTTGTTGCTGTTGCATGTCCAAGCCTGTGTTTCTCGAAGCCTCATACATTAGCGAGTGTCTTCTTCTGAGTACATTCTGTTTTCGATTTTTTTTTTTTAGATTTGGCGATGGAAATCCCACTTGCCGTGGCCTAATTCTCCAAACCTTGATACTGAACGCCTTTTCTTCGATTTTTTTTGTTTGTAATTTGGCGATGGAAACTCTCCACAGGCGTTGGCCTACTTCTACATGGTGGCCGCCTGGGGAGGGTACGTGTTCATCATCAACATCATCCCCATCTACGTGGTGGTAATGGTGGTCGCCGGCCGTTACAGCAGCCGCTTGTACATCGCCTACTCCACGTTCTACGCCCTCGGCAGCATCATGGCAATGCAGGTATCTATCTGAATATGAGTATAGCATCATGGCAACGCAGGTATCTATCTAAGTATGAGTATATGTCTTGTGTATATGTTTATGTCTACTGCTGCTGCTGCTGCTACTGAGTCGGTCCATGGTGCCGTGGACGTCGAGGCATGCCGTTGTTTTGTGCTGTTTTCTGCCGCTCTGTGTCTAGACATGCACCGCAGCAGGTGTTGTTTTATGTTTTGGCGTGCTGTCTACTACTATTAGTACCGCCATTCGTCTAAACATGCACCACAGCAGATGTCGTGTTCATGTTCTTGTGTGCTGTCTACCACTATTTTCTGAACACACCGAAGCAGTTGTTGTTGTCTACTATTAGTACCGCCATTTGTCTACACACGCACCTTAGCACGTGTGCCATGTTTATCTTCTGGCTTGCTGCCCACCGCCCGCTGCGTAGAGACAGTTAGAGGAAGTGGGGTCTTCATTTCTAGGCACGGCGCACGAGGCTGACCTGTCGGAATGGACGACTTCAACCTGTCGTGGCGTCGGGACGCGCGAAAGTGAAAAGAGGAACAGGCCGTTTTCTCAAGAAATATATAAAACATGTCGACTTCAAACTAGCTCCGACGATGTTCTTTCTGTACACCATGCACGTACCCGCTGTTCGTGCGAAACTAACGAAAAAAAAAAAAAAGGTTCCCTTCGTGGGTTTCAACGTGGTCAAGCAGGCGGAATGCATGGCCTCCCACGGGGTGTTCATCGGTATCCAGGTGGGTTGTCTTCGTTTGTTGCTGGCCGTCTCCCTGCAGTTGATCCACACGATCTGTTGGTGTGTGTAGCGCTACCTACCTAGCGCCCCATCCCCCTGTTGTTCCGCCCCCTCCCCCCCCCTTCCCTGCCCTGCTGCCCCCCCTCCTGGGTGTGCTCCTCGGCTCTCCCCCCCCCCCCCCCCCCCCCTTTTTTTTTTTGCCCTGGGGCGCCC